CCTTCAGCGCACTTCGGAGAGCGCGCGACTCCACTGAAACCAGGTCGTCGATGTTGAAAGGCACTTCTGAGTGAGTGCTGTTTGCCGTAGTTTGTTGCCTAATGGGGTCGTGCTTTCTTCAAACATTCTCACGCGGCTACAGGCTATGTAGGGAAGCCGCAGCTATGCGCAAACGGAGCAGGCCTCCAACATCCAGGTCTCGCGCCGGGTCTTGCAGTATAGACCAGGGCTGCGGCGGAACAACGTCTCGAGCGGTGCACTATTTTACTGTACACCCACTCCCACCACCGAGCAGAACAAGCAACGTTGATGGATTCTGCCGTGTATACCTCGCAGATACTGGACGAGCGTGCAGTTAGTGCGTTCAGTTTGGCCGGCTGCCTCCGGGCGGATCGGGGCAGTCACGCTATGCTCCATGTTGAATAGGTTCATGAGTTCGCGCCGGAAGGCGCTAACTAATTTGGTGTCCCTGTTACTAATGATACTGTTCGGAAAGCCATGGAGCTTTCAGGGANGAAGGCGCTAACTAATTTGGTGTCCCTGTTACTAATGATACTGTTCGGAAAGCCATGGAGCTTTCAGGGATTATTAATGAATAACTGTGCCGGTTCGTGTGTTGCAGGGGAAGTCGAACGGCTGATGATGTGGGCGTGCAGGTTGCGTCTATCCGCGATAACACGGTACTAATCGCAGCCTCTGAGTGACGGAAACTCCCAATGAAATCCATTGGCATATCCGTCAGATTCGTTCGGGTATCGTGATACTCTGCAAGTGTCCTGGTTTGACGGCGTTCGCCAGTTTATGCTGCTGTCATTCCGGAAAAGAGATGACATATTTCTCGGCTGAGAAGCGCATCCTACTCCGCCGAGGGGATCTAGAAACACATTCCCTGTTATGGCCACCCTACCAGGTTCCGCCAAAGCATGATCGTGCATTTTGCGCGAAACAACTGGAAGAGGCGAAACCGGCAAGTACAATTGGCATTTGGAGACATACGAGGGAGCAGACAGAAGCGATGGAGGAGAGAGAAGCTGCAGAAGGGACAGAAGAGACGGGAAAGATGCAGGATACGGAAGATACAGAAGAGAAGGGGACACAAGGGACAGGAGACCGTCTGTTGACTGTTTGATTGTGCGAGAGATAGTCTCGTGTTGCCTAGTTGGTATGCTCATTCGCTTTTCTAGTTGGGTTCNGTTTGATTGTGCGAGAGATAGTCTCGTGTTGCCTAGTTGGTATGCTCATTCGCTTTTCTAGTTGGGTTCAGAGGATTCTCCGGTTCGTCTCTTGTTGTTTAGTTTGTTTGGTGACTGTCTGTTTATGGGGGAGACAAGCAAATGCAGTTCTCCCGTTACTGAGAGACAAACAAATCCAGTCATTACGTTAACGAGAGGCAAACAAATATAGTTCTTGCATTTACGGAAGTTGGTCTCAACGCCGAACTGCCGTTCAGGTCCAAGAAACTGAACGTGAACTACAGATTGACGCACTGGTGCTGCTTCTGCAGCAAAATCTGGACCAGAAACAGCGGCATTACTGCATACTAACAGACACAAACTATCTGACGAACACACGTAAGAGCAAAATACTGAATCATTGTATGTTTCCTTTAAATGCACAAGCAAGGGCAGGACAGGCTGGTTTTGGTTTTTATCCGCTATAACAATACATTAATATTTATAAATGGTAATTTATGTTGTATACGGGTAGTGTAATAACATTAATCATAAGTTATATAATTTTGAAATACCATTTCAGTTAATACAAATCGATATATACAGATTTATATTATGTAACGCAATATGCAATTAATATAACCACCTTAATCACATGCGTCTTGTCATAATATAAAAAAATATTCATCAATAATGGTATGTATTGCGTGGCAAATGATTAATATTAGCATATACTAACCTAAATTTAATATATGTTTATATATATCATCTGGAACACAATATATTAAGAACATTACACAATGCAAGCGAACATCCACAAGTACAAACACATATATATATATATATATATATATATATATATATATATATATATATATATATATATATATATAT